CAGCACGCGATGAACGCGACTTCGACTTTCCTCCGGTCTTGGCTTTGCCTCCTTTTCCACGTCCAGACATGATTGACGACGACTGAGAACTGCGAGATGAACACTCACGGGTAAGATTAGAGCGGAATCGGCGCAGCGATTATACCCAGCGCTGTGATAATGCTCCGCCCAGCGAGCGTCAAGAGGCGGGACATGCCCACACGACTGTAGCACCGATGGGCGGAGCATTGTCCGTAAGTCGGTAATATAGCGGGCATGCGATGAGCGTCACCCCATCCACTGACTAGCCAGTGACCACCTCGTGTATCAACCGTTCAACGATGCCACCAAAGCCGTCCGCCAAGGGAGCCAAGAAAGCCGCGAAGAGCCAGAAGGCCAGCCGTACTGGAGACAAGAAGAGGAAGCACAAGCGCAAGGAGAGCTACTCGGTCTACATCTACCGTGTGCTCAAGCAGGTGCACCCCGACACCGGTGTCTCCTCGAAAGCCATGTCGATCATGAACTCGTTCGTGAATGACGTTTTCGAGCGCATCGCTGCTGAGGCATCTCGTCTGGCGCACTACAACAAGCGTTCGACGATCTCGTCTCGCGAATCGAGTAATGTTCGAACTGATCCTTCCCGGAGAGCTCGCCAAGCACGCCGTCTCCGAGGGCACCAAGGCCGTCACAAGTACACCTCAAGTAAATCATTACTTGCTCTCGGTGCACGTTCATCTAACCCAACGGCCCTCTTTAGGGCCACAATTGTACACAGAAACGAATACAATTCTTTAGCGTTGAAATGAAATAAAGTATTTTTATAAAATGTATTATTTTGTGTTTGATTTTGTAAAATAGTGTGCTTTTGTACGACGAAGAGGAAAGGAGAAGCGGCGCTCTCGATCACTAATCTCGTTCTTTTGGATGCGCCACACTTTCGACTTCCATTGAGGATCTTAAAGGTGTATGAATAAGTGGTCATTCTGTACAGTGGCTTGTGATTTCCCATTTTTACAGTCCTGGATGAACAAGGGATGGATAGATCAACCCTGTAGAGGTGGATGAATGTAAATTTTTTACTCGGCTCAATGTAGCATTATTTGTCCCTATTGCTTGAATCTGTCCCAAATAATAGTTGGACGTATCGCATAAGTACATTGGATCTGGGTTAGAGGAAATCTATCATCGCTAAATCGAATCTGAATCTCTGCGAATTTGTTGAGAATCGAGATTTTGGTTGTGCATTATTGGAACGGTAGAACGGTATTTTGGTCAAATTTATAGAATTACCTAAACCAGGGAAAGGGGGGTTGAATACAGTTGAGAAGCAATTCAGAGCTGGAAAGAATTTTTTCTGTTCACCCTTAAGGGTGAGGAAGAGGTTGTAGGCGTCACAACAATGAATGAAGCATCCCCGAATTCGTGAAAATAATTATCTTCTTGCTTTAGGCATGTTATACGACAATAGAGCGCAACTATTGTCACGAGGATTAGGTGAACTTCGCTTCCAGTTGACAACCTCACTGAAATCTAGAGTATTTTCTGAACCTACTTTTATAAATATTGTATCCCGCTCTTTCGAGGGGATTCCAAAAATTAGGTAATTCTCATGATTGCACCTTTGCACGGAAATCTTTAGTAAAAGGCGAAAGATTTACTCGGTTAAATGCAAAGGAGCCAGAGTTGTCCTCAACACCCACAATGACTACAGTACACATCTGATGCGTCGTATACCTAGCCGGTTTGAATTGACGTTCATTAGTGTGGTAATTACTCAGGTCACCTTACGATACATTTTTTCATATATCTACGATATTGCTAAAATTACCATGAAATGGTGAATCGTGCTCTGCTTCAATTCAATAAATGGATCCGCCGTCATACAATATACCTACCTCCCATCTTTGATTTTTCCTAATGGTTTCTTCGTTTTGATTCCCCCTGAGGGGTGGGCCGATCCCAACAGCAGTGCAACGCTGGGCCGACCCGTGACGAGGCGCGAGCAAGCCCACGACCTCGTCCGGTCTCAAAAATCAAATAACCTTAACGAGATTCATTCGAATCTCTATCGAAGGTTAATTCGATAAGAACAGAAACTAAACTTTTTGATCTTAGCCAAAAGGCGAATCCGATACGCACCAGCTGGGCGACTATCTCGCATTTGCCAAGTTAATATCGCATGGGTTTACCTTATATCACTACACCTTAATTAAGTTTCTTTTCGATGATTTCATCCAGTTCAGAATTTCCTCCTAATTTAAGTGTTACATAGATCCCTTGAACGAAAATTACAGTTGCATTGAGTTGCAAAGCTATAATTTTCGTTTTTGGTATCACTGGTAATGGTATCACCGTGGAAAAAGATTCTATTGGCATCCCATTGTCACAGGTTGTTAAATAGTTAACATTCCTTGTGGTTTTCGTCGACAGGTTAAGGTTACCAAAACTAGAAGGCACCATTAATGATACCGCCGTCAAAGTTTAATCGCCGGAGAAGCAGGTGGTTTGCCGCAAATAATTTCTGCCGCTTTCATAATCTAATTTGGCAAGGAGAAGAATCTACGAGACGAGTATAAAAACGAAACGAAATGGTTCACACATCCCACAGCTTCCTCCCTCTTCTTCAAGAATTGAGATTACTGCAGGCGGCACAAACCATTGCGAATTGCAAATGCTCCCTCCCCTAGCATCAGTGTTCTTAGTTTCCCATGCAATTAACCAAACTGCATACAAAAAAGCAAATTTTCATGTTCAAGCTAACCATTTTTGGCGCAATTAGGGGAAGATGTAGGGAGACGTCGCAGTGTCAGCACCAATATAGGCCTCCCATCTCGGCAGATCGGGATATAAAAGCGAGGTAACGGCGCGCCGAATGTTACCGTTCGATTCAGGAATCAGCATCATGCATCAATGCCGGCGTACCAAGAAACCGCTCTAAACTTGGAGGCAAGGCCCCACGAAAGCAGTTGGCCACTAAGGCCGCTCGCAAGTCAGCACCGGCAACCGGAGGTGTGAAGAAGCCTCATCGTTACCGCCCGGGAACCGTCGCTCTTCGTGAGATCCGTCGTTACCAGAAGTCGACCGAGCTGCTCATCCGCAAACTGCCGTTCCAGCGTCTGGTCCGTGAAATCGCTCAAGATTTCAAGACGATCTGCGTTTCCAATCGTCGGCTGTGATGCTCTCCAGCTCTGAGGCGTACCTCGTTGGTCTTATTTTCGAAGACACCAACTTGTGCGCTATCCATGCCAAGCGTGTCACCATCATGCCCAAGGACATCCAGCTGGCTCGCCGTATCCGCGGTGAACGTGCTTAAGTTCGAGCGCATAGCGAGTTGATCTCAATCTAACCCAACGGCCCTCTTTAGGGCCACATATATTGCTCAGCGAAACGAATACGTACAATCAGTGGTAATAAAAATAAATGTTTTGTTGAATAATGTATAGTATAGTGTGCATATTCAAAGATATAGTGTTTCAACGAATAGGAAACGTTGTTTTTCATTTGGAGGTCTAGGATATAAGTTAGCATGGAGGAGAGGTATTTTGAAGCACATATTCCGGGTTGGGAGGCACCCCGCGGTGAAGACCGGCGAAGATGGTATATAAGGGGAAGCGCGTCGGCGAGACGTTATCTAAATTTAGCAGATTCAACAATCAAATCCAACATGTCGGAAGTGGAAAAGAAGCAAGAACTCCGGCAAATGGATATGAGCGAAAGCAGCATAACAAAGTTACTTCCGCGAACATCAAGGCGACACCACACCGCAAGATCGTCGTCTCGCTTCGTCTAGGTGGAAGTGAAGCGTATTACTGAGTTCTGATCTACAGAGAACTACGTGAGTACTGAAGGGTTAAAAAAGTCCTTAAATGTATCCGTGATGCGGTCACCTACTGTGAGCACGCCAAGAGAAAGACCGTCACCGCCATGGACGTCGTCTACGCGCTGAAACGCCAAGGACGTACCCTGTACGGTTTCGGAGGATAAGAAGAAGCTCTCGCCCACGAGACTCACTTGTAAAACTAACCCAACGGCCCTCTTTAGGGCCACAATTGAAACGTGAACGAATACGAACACATTGAAGTATTTGCTTGAATAAATGTTATGCTATGTATAGTTGTGTTGATGAGGAGAATATCGGTCAGTGTCACTTATGGTTTTTTTAGGATCAAAGAGGACATTGAAGCTGAAATTACCCAAAAAAAACATGTTTGTATAGTCATCATAAGTCGAAGTTTGATCTATAGTAAGCAGTGTGGTCAGCTTACATATCGTTATTCATGATTAGAGGCTTGGGCCTTCAACCACCACCCTGGGTCATTCATTGTTGTGTGGAAATTCCAAAGCTGACTCAAGGAAACGTCATCCCACGAGGAGGGATGGCTGATTGAAATAGATCGCCCGCGCGTAGATGAATCAGATCAGCGACAAACAGCGTTAGAGATTCTATAAACTCGCATGCTGGACTTCAGTTCCCAGTTCGGTCGTCTTCATCGTATGCTCCGTAAAGGAAACTACGCTGGACGTATCGGTGGTGGAGCTCCCGTCTACCTGGCCGCTGTTCTCGAATACCTCGCCGCTGAGGTGCTCGAGTTGGCCGGTAACGCTGCTCGTGACAACAAGAAGACCAGAATCAACCCTCGCCATCTCCAGCTCGCTGTCCGCAACGACGAGGAGCTCAACAAGCTTCTCTCCGGTGTGACCATCGCACAAGGAGGTGTCCTGCCAAACATCCAGGCCGTTCTCCTGCCCAAGAAGACCGCCGGTGACAAGGAATAAGCGCACACTCGTGCTGGCTGCTCTCATCTAACCCAACGGCCCTCTTTAGGGCCACATATGATCAGAAACGAATACACATTTGAGACAAATGTCTCATCTTATTGATATTGTGTTGAATAAAATTTTTTATGTGCAAAAAAATTGTGGTTTGTCAAATAGTACGGTAGTTTTCCAATGAGAAAACCAAAAACTTCTCACTTTTGTTGGGAGCCCAATAATAGTGGTTTTAAAAATAAATCTGCGCTATTTTCAGACTAGTACGTATTGTACGCTTACTTTGCTAAAGCTTATACATGAGCTAAACGCTTATTGATGATGCATTCGTCTGGGCTTATCAGTTTGGAACTGAGCACCACTCAACCGCTAGCCCATTTGATCAAGCATAAGGTGGAGGTACTGTTGGAGGGAATACGGTCCGGGAATCATTTTTTGTTATTCTTGATTTGTTTCGCTAGGAAAAAACTCAGATGAAAAATAATAATAACCGAGAATATCCGCTAGGCCCAATAATTATGTCATCCACTGTATCCTAAGGTACTAACAATCATTTATAGAATGACCCTTCTCACGCTGTTCGATTACTGGACGATCCTCTATCGCGCCGCGGACCCTTCTATCACCACCACAGTCTCCCGTCGTGGATGACGCCGTTGCAAGGTCAGCTTTGAATTTTCGCGCCACACACACAATGAAACGACGCCATGGCGTGGGGTCGGCTTGGCAAGCTGCCCAAGTACCTCCTAATTCATGGACATGAGACGAGCTATGTAAGCGCTAGACACACTGAATTACCGAGCGACACAAACTACCCTCTATTGAAGTGACTATTAACAAAACATTTTCTTTTTTGTAATCTTCAGCTTCAAATCGTCTGTAATTCTGCATTCGAAGAACAAAGCAGAATACCATAACTGACAGCTCATCACTCGAGCACGACCACTCCTCATCAACACAAACTAATACAACTGTAGAAAACATTTATTCAAGCAAATACTTCAATGTGTTTGTATTCGTTCACGTTTCAATTGTGGCCCTAAAGAGGGCCGTTGGGTTAGTTTTACAAGTGAGTCTCGTGGGCGAGAGCTTCTTCTTATCCTCCGAAACCGTACAGGGTACGTCCTTGGCGTTTCAGCGCGTAGACGACGTCCATGGCGGTGACGGTCTTTCTCTTGGCGTGCTCACAGTAGGTGACCGCATCACGGATCACATTCTCAAGGAACACCTTCAGAACTCCACGAGTCTCCTCGTAGATCAGACCAGAGATACGCTTCACTCCACCACGACGAGCGAGACGACGGATTG